GGTTTACACTTTAAGATCATGAAAGGCTTGAATATGTAAAAGTGAATGTCGCCCTACTCTCGACCAGATCACTAGAATAGCTAGCGATTCGGATGGGTCCAACTTGTTATTTTTTTTCAGGCGTATGTTATTGATGCGAAATAGAAGTCGTTGTTGTGAAACACCTTGGTTACAGAAGCGCTCACCATTCCAACTCGTAGAGGTAATGTTATGTAAAAAGAACTAATTAATTAATTTGTAAGCTTATTAAAGCCTAAATATTCTCAAAAGTCATAGAGATGTACAAACCACGACTTTTGTTGGAAGTGTGAAGCACTACAAACGCTTAAAGATAAGAAAAAATTGATATTTTGCTTTGTATCGCGCATGTAATTGCTTTTAGCTGCAATTCCTTTCGGAGGCAAGTCACAATCAACACGAGAGAAACACCATCACACTCATTTCTTGTCATTTTCACAGGCGAAAGAAATAGAGTAAGAGCAGCCGAAGCAGGGAGGCAAGAGCTGATAATTTATCACTCATCAAATAATGTGTTGCGACGTTTAAAAGTTGATTCTTAATTTTTATGATTCTTAATTTTTACATTCCTTGCGTCTCTGTAGGCAGATTGTTTGGCCTACGACCGACAATAACACAGCCAACAAAGCCCTTTGTTGAATTCGTACCTAACTGTCGTAACTTAGTCACTACTAAACTTCTTGAGAAATCTTTGAATTCTAAAAAAAATAATTAATGAATTATGGGTACATAACTGGTTCTGAGAGGTAGCAAAATCTTATCAAGAAAATGGGATAATAGAGCATAATCAGTTACACTGGCTATTATTAATGACAAGAAGTAACGAAGTACAATATGCGAATTATGGTCTACAACCAAACTAAGGAGTCGAAGGAGCAGTGAATGGCTCGGCGGTGCACAGACTGCGTGGAGCGAAAACGAGACATGTCATTGTGCAGCGTGTTTGCATCGTCGAATATCAGAAGCGCGAACCAGATCGCCGCACCGTCGGCCACTAACGCCTTCCGGCAATTTAATGCTCAATTCGTAGTGTTTGAGTGTTGTTCTTGAGAAAACAAAGAGTCCTGTATTTCCTGCCGCGTAGAGGATATCGTCTCTCCTATATTACGACTAATCATAAAAAATGATTACAATAGTTTTGAAAACTTGCGCAAGACAACGAGCTGAATGCGAAATAAACAAAAATCAGGTTACGTGAGTTCTCCCGGAAGTGGACATCGTATCGTAGCTACTGGATTTTAGCAAAGTATTTCGTTTCAGTATAAGATCTTGAAATAACAAAAGCTTTGATATTCTAGCACTACACACCTGCACTTCAGTCAGTAATTTGAGATCGGCCCAGAAGAAATACAGTATGTTTTTCCATATTACTTTGCCTTGCCGCGGACGACTCACTAAAATTTGCTATTTACAAAAGTTTTTCGTTCCATTTTTTGCTTTCTCTTTTTTCCTTAGCCTCTCTCCTACAAAAAATCGTCTTGAGGTGGATGGAAACGCAATACGATCGACTTACATGCGGCCCACGTATGTTTGTTCTGTCGAAAAATAGTTCAGATATAAATTCCTTCAAAAAGACTGTAATTTCACTGGATTTGTAAAATTGCATGAAGTTTGGATCTCCCACTTAGACATCTTACAATGAGTGATCTATTAACGATGAGGGTACATCTTTGGAAAAAAATATACAGTCTTCATTCTAAGCAAATCAACAAAAAAGCAAAACCGACTGTCTTATTCTAGAATCGGAAACCAAAATTTGTAAATCAACAAAGAGTCAAAATTTGACTCTTTGTACGAAGTCTCTTTTGACCTGTTTTGAAAACCCATCATCATTTTTATATTATGTAAAAAATGTAGTAGTGTTTTCATGCATTTCTGATTTCATGAAAGGACTTTTCACAGCTTTCTGAGCTTTTTATGGTCGAATCACATCTTGAGAAGCAGAAAAAGCCGATTTTTCGACGGCGGAGCGGACCGAGTGGTTTTCAAATTGCTATAAAACGCTGAAAAGAGAACATTATGAAACTGTTTCTTCTCCGTATGTCATCTTTTACAGTGTAGATACATTTTATGTAAAAAAGTATGAAAACTTATATGAGCAAAGTGTCGGTGCCAGCTCAGCTGGCACCCAGCTGGCACGGTGCCAGCTAATTTAGAAAAAAGTTCGGCACAACTTTCATTCACATAAGTTTTCATAAATTTTTGGCCCGTAGTTCCGGTCCACCAACGCGCATGCACACACCAAATTTGGTGTCATACTATTGTTTTGGCTGAAAACAACGCCTTTGTTTATTGATGGACAGCTTGCCAATAGCATGCCGGTGGCATGCCGGCGGCATTTTTGCGGCAGTTCTCCGCCTCGGCCCCTGTAGAAACGATATCCCCTTTGCTTTCCGCGCTAAAAACGATATCCAGCTTGACCCGGTGCCAGCTGTGCTGAGCCCTGAGTCAAATTCAAAAGTAGGCCAGCAAGCTGTGGCACAGCGCAGAAAATTGAAGGACATAGTAGAGTGTCCTACTGAGTCAAATTTTTACCTTCAACATTTCAGCTAACCACTCATATTAGAAACTTAACTCAGAAATGAAGACATATATGTACATTTGTTCTGATCAATATCACCCACAATTTGAGCTGTACAGGAAACTCAAAAATGCCATGTCTTTTAAAGTGAAACCATTATTTAGCTCAAAAACCCATTTCCATGTACAATAGAGTTAATTACTGCTTGAAAAACATTTATGGCATGGTCATATCGAGAAGAGGTTAGGGTTATGATCATAAAGATAACAGGCGACTTCTTACAAAGTGAGAATGATGCTACTACAAAACTTTTTCCATACTGTGAGTCAACTTCAGAATCTAAACAGTGCATTTTTTTGAATCTAGCAAACCCTCCTCTTCTTAGTAGCTGGGTTTGAATAAACCGCCAACATTCTATGATTGTTCTTTCTTACAAATTTCTCCAGTTTGATTATCATCTGCATTTTGGCAGAACCAGCAGCTAATTGTTAAATAAGCTTGAGCAATGCGCAGCAATTTGAAAATTAGTGAATCTATAGGTTGTAAGGAACGTTCTACCGATAGAGATTTGAGCAGAAATTATTTATATCGTCGTAAATTGCTTTATTTATATCTTTATCATGAGTGACTTTAAATTAACGATGTCTCAATCATGTGTACTGACAACATCAGACTTCTGATTAGGTATAGCGTATACCACCCACCATCGGTCACAAGAAAAATGTGGCAGCGCGTGTGCGCCGCATGCGGCGGAACTAGCAATCGAGCACAGAACCCAGCCTTTGCTCAGGCATTTAGACGCTCTCAATCTGTAGTCATGTTCCTTCTTCTTGCTGAACATTCATTTTCGTTTGGAGCTTGTCTTAAATACGTAAGGCAATTCAGATGATGGCACATGCATTGCATGATGAGCATTCGTATAGAAAATTTATGGTCTTTTGTGTAAAGTTGAAGGATACTTTCTTCGAGAATAAGAATCGCAAACGCTTTGCACACGTGGTAATCGTGCTTTACCACATATGGTATGGTTTATTACTGAAAAGGGAAGAAGAAACATGTTTGAGATTATCAAACAAAGTATGCAATCTGTTCTTTACTCTTTTGATCTCATTGATGGAAAGAAAATGTGATCATAGTATCACCCGAATAGCGGTCACACAATTCCATTCCCTTGTTAGCGATAGGGAAAAGAGGAGTTTCAAGGATGCTGATGTCATTTTCTTCTCTGAAACATGAAGACCATTATGCACCCATTCGCAAACAAAACTTGCTCAAGGTCATGCGCTTTCGCACTCGCGTACCATTCCACTGCCTGCGTCGCGGGCGGCCGCCTCAACCATGGGATCCTACGACCGAGGCTAGGTGTTATATATAGCCTATATATCATGGATGCTCTACTTCAACCTTGCTGGCTGCGTTTCGAAACAGGTGGAGAGTTCGATTTTGTGAACGCTGCAATGAGCTACTTCTTGCTTGGAAAAAGGCCCAAATCCCGGAGCAATAATAGTTTGATATCGCTTCATCAAACCAATACGAAGGTTATAAAACGGATTCTGAAATCAGCTTCTGCAAGCTGCGCGTCCATAATCTGAAAAATATGCCTTTTTGACCACGGAGCGACGGATTTTCCTTCTTGTTTGGGTATTTCTTCCTAGTTCACCGTTATTATTCCAAGCAAAATAGTGTATTTGGTAGCTAGGGTCATCGCAAACTAAGAACACATCCAAGTCGGACCCTTGCATTGGCATTCATTTTTGACAGTTATGAGAAAAACTGGGAGAGCTTCCTTCACGACATAATATTCAATAAATTCTCGATGATGATTATTTTTTTGCATTAGTGATGCATTTGGGTGATTTTGTCCAAATGAAAAGCTTGTTTTTTCCCTGCATCGCAGTGTATTAGACCGTTCTACTAAGTTTTTTGTGATTTTTTGCATTCTATACTGACCACAGTTTTTGTTTTATAACATAACCGCGATGACTTGCGAAATAAGGAGTTTTGAGCAGTTAAACTTCTAGCAACCTCTCTTCTACGAACTTCCTAGAAGAACGGTAACTTCAGAAGCTGTTCGCAACATAACTGGAAAGCGCATAGGGCCTTTTTTGATAGATCTTGCCTTCTAATTTCTAAATATTCGAGCATTATGAAGGGGTAGATAATTTTGAAAAAAAGCAGTTTTCTCAAAGTATTTATTCACTCTATATTTGAATGGCGATAGCACTTGAATGGGTTGCCGTCAAACGTCGATGTGTTTCCTGGTGCTCGTATTTTGAAAAACCCAAAAGTCAACAAACACTGACACCAGAATGAAATGGAATCCTCATGAGATGAGCTGGTCTAAATCACTGGACGGGTGCGCGAACGATACTTTGCGCAAACATCTATTGTTTCCGGAACGATGCGTTTTGTGGTTACAAATAACGCTAAGCAATAATTTATTGGAAAAAGATCCTGGTGTTTAACCAAAGTATGTCTCGTAGCCGTTGCTGCTGACACACGTGTTGTAACCACACGGAGTTGGACAGCAAAAATGCGAAACCTTCGAAGCTGATATACCCTGTAAATAATCACAGTTCAGTTGCAGAGAAACCTATACAAGCACTGCCAAGAAGAAAGCCTAGGCCTAAAGTTTTGGTTCGCCTGCTCCAATTATGAAGTACAAATAATATGATTATAACAAAGTTCTATAAAAGCAAAAACTCTCCGATGAAAAACAGTAATGCTATTACTAAAGAAGGATACTGCATGATGGACCAAAGTAGAAAAGTAACCCAACAGTGAGTTAAAGTTAAGTTTAGATGCGTTCGCTCTCCGCTACACAGTGTTTTTCAGGTTGAATCGAGAAGTTATGCATTCGAGAGTCAGGAATTCTTTGTAATTGATCCTATGAGTTCAACAATTTTCTAAAGTCGACTGCACAAATTCGCCCTTATCGCTGTAGGCTGAATGCGCGCAAGCGTGCCTGCAGCGCGGCTCCCGAGTAGGGTGCGGGTGCTACGATGACTCATGTGCGCGAATGCCAATGTTACGCAAGAGATACGCTCGCGGGCGTGCAGCCTGGGCGATTCCGTGCAATCAACTATATGCGACTTTTTCTTATTTGTGAATAATTCATACTTGCCAAGATTTTCAAGTTGAAATTAGGTTTGTTAGAGTTTATTTTGAAGAAGATGTGACTGCCTCCATGCTCACTCCTCTCAAACCTGCAAGATGTAGAGCTTCTGTAATTCTAGAAAGACCAAAACAATTTCAAAGAGCTTAATTAACGCCATACTTCAATCAGAAAATTTTTTGTCGCTTTTCTCCCTTACCGCTTAACAATTGTGAGCACCGCCATTGAAGGCAGCGTCCCGGCAATGTAATGGACACTGGGGTTTTACATCGCTGCAATGGTAAACCCTCAGCTAACCTAATGATGGAGTCGGGAGCAAAAAAGCGCGTCTGGAAAGCCTGAAATCCACTCCGGAATTCTTCCGCATCCCGCCTTCTCGTTCCAGACCTCGCTTACTTAAAGGATATTCGTTGACTTTCAGTACTCATCAAAGTAAAACGTAGGATATTTAAACATCGAGAGAACCTAAGAAAAGGGAAAACGAATGATTGACTGAAATACGTAAACTAAGAAGAAAAAACGATGTAAAATACTTGAATCAACAAAAGAGGATAAAGGACAGTGTTTCTGCGAGCTACGAAGTCCCGGCGCGCTGCAGCGTACTGTCAAGCTGGAAAGGCTCCAGAGAGGCACGCTCACAGTGGTGTAAATGCACGAATCGGGGCAGTCGTCGACGAATATCCTTTACACGCGTTTTCCAGCGAATGTAGATATGAAGAGATTTGGGAACAAAAGGTCATTTTCGCCATTTTCATGCGCGGAAATGGCAACAAGGCTCCGAAAAGGCGAAAATGAAGAACGATTTGCCGTTACACCGCTTTTAGACTTGATACGCTGAGTATATTGAGTGATTGGACAATTCAGATTACATCTCTGACCACAAATGCGAGCTATAAAGTTCTTCTTCCCACTTGGATATGTACGTTCATGCCTATGCACATCTGCCCTAACACACCTTGGTAATGTTGAAAGATACAGCTTACGATCAGTTACATTTTCCAAGAGTGGGTATATTTCTTATTTTTATCCCCGGCATGTTGCGCGTATTGATGTCGATCTGAGTCGCCTGTTGTGGAGCAAGATCGGAAGCGAATCAAAAGTTGATAGACAAAGGAGCAGGAGAGGCAGACGCCGTCTTTCAAAGTAGCCTCGCGCGGTGGTGTTGATTATCAAGACCTGAGGTAAACATCTTCGTGCATCATTAGCTGGGATGAGCCTTCGCGCATTTTTCAAGATCTGATTTAGACTGTAGTGGAAAGTTCGTACAATAACAACATCGTTTTTTTTCTTCATGTATTTTTTCTTCATATACAGGGTGCCATTACTATGAATTAAAGAAGATAAAATAAATTATCCTAAGTAGTGCAATCTATCTGTCGCGCGTTAGCAACGCAGTAGGATAGGTACGTCGTTATATCGGACGAGTAGGTCTCACTAGGCTGTCGGCTTTGTCGTGGTTGTCGAGACTGCTGGGATTTCCGATTTGGCTGGCTGGGTATGCCGCTTAGGTTTGATACATACCTGGCGTCGGGTGTCTATACGTAGCGGTGGCAGCAATGCATTTAATGCGTATCGATTGCAGAGGAATGATGCTGCTGCCTCACGCTACAGCAGCTCACGCAAAAGGTCATGTCCATACCTAGCGACCCATTTGTGAGCAGCGCTGCTCGTGCTGATCAGCGCTGATTAGCGCTGCAGTAGATCTTGCAGCTGAGTTACGCTCACTTTTTCTGAGCGTATCTGCTGCTTTGAGCTGCAAATAGCTGCTTTTCTTTGAATCTACCTATTTTTAACGATTTTCAAGCTGCAATTAGAGCTTTAAAAACAAAGTCCGCCTTTCTTGCATGAGCAAGTCATGAATGCAACCTAAGACCATCAAATTAGGACTAAAGACGGATATGGGAAAATGAGATGAACTGGAGAGACAACTTCATAGATTTGAAGAGATGAAAGTATAAAAACAACTACAGATTGGCAATAATTTAAGAAACTGACGGCCACTGGTGGTCAGATAAAATCTCGCCACCAGTGGACTCCGATTATGTCATTGCCTGAGGAACTTTTTCATATAGCTGGGACAGCCATAGATAAGGGTCAAATGGAATCAGTACACTTATGCTCCTCTTAACTTTGCTCGTATGAGTTTCCTTTCCACTATAAATTTTGATAATGAAAAATGGATCATAAAGAATTCTTCGTAAAAGTAGAATATGACTCCGGATCCAACTCAAAGCGTGCTAATTCTTTGGTTTCCGACATCTTAAAACTTGGCGATGGCCCAATTTTGGATGGTTTTTGCACTCTGTTGAACGCTGTTCTGCTCCATGTATCCGGGAATATGGGCCTTCGTGCGCTCGTCCATTCTCTCATCGTTATTTTTGTTCAGACCTATTCATGTGTACTAACAAGTCGGTGCGTAGTCTCGCATCTGTATTAAAATTGAAATAGACAAGTCTCTAGACATGAAGTAAACCTGAACAAAAATAGCGATGAGAGAATGGACGAGCGCATGACAGCCCATCTATCCGGATACATGGAGCAGAACAGCGCAGCGTTCAATCCTCAACCCCGCTTCAAATTCACAGCTTTTCTCATCACTAGGAGAAGCGGGGTAGAAGAAAGAACGGAGAAGCAACGACATGGAAAAACGAACAAGGCTAAGAACGCCCAAGATCATGAAAAACAAGAGACAAGTCCCAACTCATGCAATTTCAGGATTTCTCCTACTCCGTAATTCGTGGCAGATGGCTATGGAAACTGGACAGCCGCTTCCTGGAACAAATGAAGTAGTTTTGAGCAAAAAACAAGAAGACAGAATGAACAATCGCACGATAGCCCATCTTTCCGAATACACGGCGCAGAAAAGCGCTCATTCTTCAACCCCGCTTCGAGTTCGCTGTGCTGCTGATCAAAAAGGGAAGCGGGGTGGAGGGTTAAGGCCAAAATGAGCGAAATCTGAAAGAAAAACCGTTGAGAACGGTCAAAATTCTCCAACTCCCGCCGTTCAAAACGGTGCGGGGCGGCTGCAGCGCATGCAGCACAGTTCTGGAACTGTTCCCGCACAGTTCCCGCACAGTTTCAGCACAGTGCGAGAACTGTGCGGGAACAGTTCCAGAACATGGGAATCAGTATGAACGCAGCCTAAGCAGCGAGGTATGTATCAAGCCTTTGTGGGCGCATGAGAATTCTTTCATTCAGAATTTCTTTCAGAATTTCATACTAAGCCGCAGGACGCGGCGTGCTGCAGCGTTCTGCAGCGTGCGCCGCTGCAGTCACAATGAGAATATAAGCTCCTTCGCTTTGAAAGACTCTCGGAGAACACGAGCGTGCAGCAAATATGGAGATACACCCATACCGGCGAAGCTGTGCTGCCGTGAGCGTATATTTTCACTGACGTGACGCTGCGTGCTGCGGCAGGCTGCTGCGTCCTGGGCGTAGAAGAAATCCTAACACACAAAGACTACTGTGGGTCCTAAACCGACTGGCAAGCCAGCATCCTCAGCAACCTCCGCAACTTCGGCAATCCTGGCAACAGTTGCCGGCAAGCTATGTGCGATCCTTAACCTAAGCGTTCAGTTTTCTGGATTGTGTATGAGAATTTTTCTGCTTTTGATGAGATCTTCATGGCTTGATCAGAAAGAAGTTCAGAGCTGATAGCAAATGTGACTGAAAAGCTGCATGCGGGCTGTCATTCAGTGATGACGTTCCACGAGTAGCCATTGTGACGCTATGACTTACAAGGAAAGAATACTAACTTAGATTCGCCTTTGAGAAGAGACACATAGATTTGGAATAAGCTTGGAACGCTGATCCCAAATATGCTGTCCCTAACTGCATAGCGTTATTCTAAAGCGAGTTATGGTCTTTTTTTTTTCTATGCAAAGTTTGCGTGCTCCTCGACCTACTGGTGCTACGGGGGTAGAGGAACGAGCGCCTCAGTTAGGCATCGCCTCCGCGGGCTGCTGGTCCTTTCGTCCTACTGTTGTGTATCGTGTTGGGACCAGTGGTCCGCGGAGGCGGTGCCTAAGTAAGGTGTTCGTTCCTCCACCCATGCTACGGTGCCGACGACGTCTAGGTAGTTTTGCGATTGTATAGTGCCCCTTTCAAGATTGAAAGAATTAATCTCTAATGCTAATTTAACATCCTGGTACTTTTCGAGCAGATTCTTATCTACACGCCGTCTTACGACATTTAGAAGTTTGTTAGTGACTCACAACAGCAAGCTCATAAGTCGCTTCGGAATAACGCTAAGCAGACAGGAACAGCATATTTGGAATCAGCGTTCAAAGCTGATTCCAAATAGTATATGTGTCCCATCTCAAAAAGCGAATCTAAGTTAGTATTCTTCCCTTGTTAGTGCTATGCACGGCGCTAGCTCACTGTTACGTACGTCGGTTTTCTACACAATAGTCGGCTGATCGATATTTTTTATCCTGCTAGGCTTTCTTACAAACTGTGACAGCGGCAGACACAGCCGGTGCTCACGCTCTTGTTTATCCCAATTAAGCACATTTCTTTTGGGAAGTGTTAGCCTTATGCTGACTATCTGCTAAATATTGCAATGATCGTTGAGTCTTGACCCCGTACTTGTAATTAGTGCTCATCTTGCCCATTAGTAGTGAAAGCCGAGTTGTACCAGTATGGTCTTGCTCGTTATTGCCGTTACGAACATTCCGCGAGTGTTCTTATTCATTGTGCAGTAAACAACGCCTACCTGGCACTCTTCATCCGTATTGCACCAGCTTGTTACTTGAAAGCTGTTCATCCGACAGCGAACATTAAGAAGATAGTTTGGAGGACAGTGTTCGTTCTCTATAGATCGAATTCCTCAAATAACGAACATGAAGTCGTCAATGAATGCTAGAGCAATCTGCACTCACCAATGTCAATAACATGACCCGAGGGAGGGATGCATGCGTTGAAACCACAACCTAGGATGTGACAAATATGGATTGTAAACTCTCTCTCTTCAAACATCAAGTTGTAACAATAAATTTGGGGTTTTTTGCAAATGCATCTGGAGGTGCCAAAGTGCTCTTGTTTAAACTGCGCATAGAAAACATCGTTTTGAGCATTATTTCTAATAGTTCTTGAAGATGAAGATTGTTATGCAGTCAAAAGGAGTCCATAGAATTTTCAAGACCTAAGGAATTTTTATGAGCAAGAAAGACGATTATATGCCATTTTTTGTATACGATTTATGGCCTTTTTCACATAATAATAATTTTATAAATGCTGCGAGCGTTGAAGAGTCACCGAAGTGTGAGCTCTACTAGCTCTGGCTTTACTCTTTTACCTACAACGTTCGACTCATCGACTGCATGCCATATTCACAAGAATGTTATCGCCCACGGAAAATCTGCATGAAGCATCAATTTACAACAGTAATGCAGGCAAGGGGTTTCGCATAAAACAAAACTGATGCGTATACTAAATCATCACACCCTTAGTTGATGACTATTATAAGAATCCGTAAATCCTTTTACTGTGTCTAAGGGCAGGAACGAAACAGAGCCTTTTGGTTGTTTACACATTGTGAATTAAAAACTTTTCTTCTTATTGCGGGACCATTGGGGGGGGGGTTTCCAACAAGGATTGTCTTCCACATAGTAAAGACTATATCTCGGCACCTGCGCTCTAGGGCCTGCACTCTTGTTAAAATGAAAATTTTTGTGAAATTCAATATCTGGGAAAGAGCCACAATGATGCAATGTAAGGATGAAGGCATATCCGCAGTAAAGAACTTAAATCTCTTAAAACGGCAAGCGCAAGGCAACAAAAAATAGGCAGAACTTAAACAGCAAACCAGTACAACTTACCGGAGTGTCGAAATCTCTTTGTATATTATATTCCTGGGAAACAAACTGCAAAAGAATGGTTTGTAAGTTCTTTTTCAGTACCGCTATCACTTGTCGAAAGAGTGCACCTACAAAGAAAGGATGGTTGGTCGAAGCGTTCTTTTTAGATGGATTGTATACCATGTTGGAAGGCATAAAACGCTGACTCCAAATCTGTTTTCATTATCTGCGGCGCGTTCCTGCACGAGAAGTTATGGGCGTTTATTGGAGAAAAAAATTGAATGTGCAAATAATATAAGAACAGTAAAAACATCCTAGCGCTTGAAGGACCAGTGGTAATCTTTCCAGCACTCTATAAATCAAATACGCTTAGATGAGATATATCGCACTCCGGCTGTCTCATTCAAACGCTGGGAAAGTTTTCAACTGTTTTTGTCCCAGAAGAGCATTCATTTTTTGCTCCTTTAAAACGTCCATAACTCCTCGTCCAAGAATACTCCGCAGATAGGACGGATTTGGGATCAGCATTATACGCACTTCAACATCATATACAAATCATCGCAAAAGGCCACTTCGACTACCATCCTTCCCTTGTTAGTAGGTAGCGTCAAGCTATCCGTGGCTTATTCTACCTTCGTCATATAAAGAAACAGGACCGTTTAGTGCGATTATGTCCTGATGAGTGATAGCCGAAAACCGCTTTTTTATGTACCGTCAACATATTATCGTGTCATGCTCCCGATGTCCTCATCTAACTCGGAAGTAGTTCTAACTTTAAACATACATACAGTGTTGGCCATAGTTATAAAGACACTCTAGAGACTGTCGTAATTTGCGGTCTTGTTGACGAATCTGTCTGAAACTCTGCTGCTTAGTGCATATTTTGGCCTACCATGTCTCTCAAAAAGCTACCAATTTTGTTGATTTTATGGAGAAACTTAGAAAAATTCGAAAACCCCTACCGAAAGCTCGACAAAATTATAAAGACACCTGGGTTTTTTTGAACACTATCTAACATTAAAATATTTGTACAGTTACATACTAAACTATGAAACATTTGCAACATATGCGACCTGTCATCGTTTTCAAAGAGAAATGTTCACTGCATTTTTTGCTTTCAAAAACACCAAAAGTCAATCTGCTTCAACAAACAGCTGGCTTAAAGAGTTTTCAAGCTCTTGTTCATTTCAGATGAGTTATGGAATCCACTGAGCCTTTTTCGATAAATGAGTTGAAGAGCGCTTTCGTAAACTCTGCGTGATCGCTGATATTGACGGACAGACTTCAGCCTTAGCATAAGTTTGTCACACTTTCAAACCACAAAACTCAATTTTCAAGCAACAGTATGTACTGTAATGTGGCCATTACGTCGGCTGTACAACGATAAGCTTGCGTGCATAGTTGGGAAAGAATGAAGTTGGCATAATGGTTCAGATGCAGTTGTCATCCACTGAATGTTGAGTGGAGCACCCTGCATAATCATAGCGAACACAGATCACGAGATAGAACAGGAGATTGCTCAGAACTTCGAATCCTTAGCTAATCTCATCCTTCGGGTAGAATCTGACATGCAGCAGCGATAAAAATAGTGAGATTTATGATTATCTCGAATCCATTGCTCGCAGAGAATTTTCATGGAAAGTATTTTAAGTATGGAAAGCGACCGCATCATTAAAAAATCTGAAAGTTATTGCGAGAGCTGCACCTCCATGTAGGCAATGTAATAAATCACTTCAGCACTTTATGAACGTTGCAAACTTATTTTGCGGTTTCAAAGCGTGGCAAGCTTATGTTGAGGTTAAGGCCTGTCCGTCAATATCAGCGATAACGCAGAGTTTACGAAAGCGCTTTTTAACTCATTTATCGAAAAGGCTCGGTGGATTCTGCAACTATCACCTGAGATGAATAAGAGCTTGAAAACTCTTCAAACCAGCTGTTTGTTGAAACAGACTGACTTTTGGTGCTTTTGAAAGCAAAATATGCAGTGAACATTTCTCTTTGAAAACGATGACAGTTCGCATATTTTGCAAATGTTTCATATTTTAGTATGTAACTGTACAAATATTTTTTAAAGTTGGATAGTGTTCAAAAAAACCTAGGTGCCTCTATAATTTTGTCCAGCTTCCGGTAGGGGTTTTTCGAACTTTTCTAAGTTTCTCCATTCAAAATCAACAAAATCGGAAGCTTTTTGAGAGACATGGTAGGCTAAAATATGCACTAAGCAGCAAAGTTTCAGACAGATTCGTCAACAAGACCGCAAATTACGACAGTTTCTAGAGTGTCTTTATAACTGTGGCCAGGACTGTGTGTATGTTTAAAGTTAGAACTACTTCCGAGTTAGATGAGTGTTGCAAATGTTTCATACTTTAGTATGTAACTGTACAAAAAAATTTTCAAAGTCAGGGGATGCGCCCAGGTGTCTATATAATTTTGTCCAGTTTATGGTAGGGGTTTTTCGAATTTTTCTACGTTTCCCCATTTAAACTCAACAACATTGAAAGACGTTTTGAGGGTTCATGGTAGGCTGACATGCGCACTAAATGGCACAGTTTCAGACAGATCGTCAACAACAACGCAAATCACAACACTTTCTAGAGTGTTTTTATAATTATGGCCAGCACTGTAAAACTTGTACAGACAAAAATGCTTAAAGGCAGTGGATCGGCAAAACTCAACAGCGCAGGATTTACACGCAGTAGGTTCCTTATCGCTCAAGTATGGAAACAGTGCAATCCCGGTTGCACAGCATCCTTCCTTGCTGAGAAAACTGCTCTCATACTTACACGCGCAAGCCAATCTTACACGCGCCCGGTCGAGTTGGCAATTTCCTTCCCACCATTGGAGGCTGCCCGCCGCAATGCTACAACCATGGGGTTCTGCAACGATTCAGCGTCATCAGCCTTGCTCCACTCGTCCAAATTCAAAAGGAAGGGGGGTGGAGGAACGAAAGCCGCCAGGTCCAGCCGCCCTTCGCGGCCAGCTGGTCCTTTCGCAGGGTTGAGCCAGACTGCGCGGCGTACGCGACGTACGCAGCGTACGCCGCGTATGCTCCTATGATGAAATATACCGAGCGTACGCTGCGTACGCCGCGTACGCCGCTTCCCCGCGAAGTCTGGCTCAACCCGCAGCGTTGTTGCATGTCGTTCCAGGACCAGCAGTCCGCGAAGGCGGCTGGACCTGGCGGCTTTCGTTCCCCCACCCAAGGAAGGGCATCGAAAAATGCAGTTTTTCGCCGTTTTCAAGCTCTTTAAAGAGGATTTTCGAGATTAACGTATTAAATAACCCCAGGTAAGCAAAAATTTGACTAGGTTGAGATTTGCGGAGTCACTGCCTTCAAGCTCTTACATACCTGTACTGCAACACAGTCGCACAGGTGCGCCTGAGCAGTCACTATCGCTTAGGCACCAACTTGTTGGGACTCTCTTGCTTCCAAAAGTGCATGTGTAGCCCAACTCTTCTGGCGGCGGGCACTTGATGGGTATCCTTAATTGATGGTATTGCTCATAACTAAGGCGGAAAGACGTTTCCGCCAAAATTCCCATCATAATCATGCGAGTATCAAATTTTGGAAGAGCTCTCAATATTTTTGAATCCCATCAAATTGCAATAGATAGCCGTTGTAACAGAGAGATAAGGATAATCACATCGCTGTTGGCGTAGCTGTCTCGCTTTATCGATGTAAAAGGCAGACCGCTAATGTAAATAAACTGTTTCAAATAGGAAGCGAAGAAATGCATTGGTATCACTCATAGAGATCGGTCAGAGTTTGCCAGTGTTGCTAGAGTTGAAAGTGTTGCCAGTGTCGAAAGTGTTGAAAGCGTTACCAGTGTTGAAAGTTTTGAAAGTGTTGCCGGTGTTGAAAGTGTTGAAAGTGTTGCCGGTGTTGAAAGTGTTGAAAGTGTTGCCGGTGCTGAAAGCGTTGAAAGCGTTGCCGGTGCTGAAAGCGTTGAAAGTGTTGCCGGTGTTGAAAGTGTTGAAAGTGTTGAAAGCGTTGCCGGTGCTGAAAGCGTTGAAAGTGTTGCCGGTGTTGAAAGTGTTGAAAGCGTTGCCGGTGTTGAAAGTGTTGGAGGTGGAAATCATCGTCTTGCAGTTTTATTCCTCCTCGAGCGATCTCACCGGCTGGTGAGTACTTTTGAAATGGAAATGGGAAATAAGAAATGAAAGTAAATAGAATGGGAAAAGCTTTCGCATGCAAAAGATCCTCTACAGAATTATGGAAAGAAGAGAACTTGTTTTGCATAAGCAATCTCCGACATAGATAGCTGCTTGAGATAGCTGCTAAAGTCTGATGAGAATGCTTGTAGGGCGTCGATTCCGGCGCTTCTGCGAATAGTGAGCAAAGGACCGAATGGGAGGTCTTGCAGCCTTTTCAAATGTTGGAGATTGCCTCTTTCAAACAAGTCCTTCACTTACCAAAAAGTTCGTATGAGGAGCTTTTGCGAAAGCATTTCCTATTTCATTTTAGTACCAGTGCGTCACCTCTGCTTCGCAGAGGTTCGCACTGGCTCTACTATCTATGTGCCTTACTCATTCTCGTAAAATCATGGCACTGGATCTCACCGCATTATGCCGACTACCACGAATTAAATGTAAACAGCTACTCATTCAGAAAGTTTTTTCACGTGAGATCGGTGATTTCGCGTGGATGAAACTTTTCGTAGGAAGACAAACGCAAATTTGAATAGGTTTTTGAAGTTGTCATGGCTTGGTAGTCCCCTTAAAGGCAGGCACCGTGAGCTACATCTCCGTGCGAAAATCTTTTGAAACGCTTAGCTAGAACCTTAGCAAATTAACCATTTACGCAACCAACTCTTTCTGGCGCCGTTTTCGTTATGTAGCAAACTTTTGACCACTTTTTGGGCTAAAGTCCATCGCTTGCACATTTGCTTACCAAACACATCCAGGACTTTGCAAAAAGTGGTGATATGGACCCAATTTTGCGGGACAGAAGCCAGGTGGATCCGTTTGGCGCGCAATTTCTGAGGGACCCATTCAACGAATCTATTCGTGCTTTTGCACGTTGAACTTTCATGAAGGTAGCATGCACTATGCAAAATTTGGGCTTAAAACGCTGGCTGGAACACGCTCTACGAATTTCGTAACAGACGGACACACACACACACACAAAAACACGTAAACAACCCTTAGCCCGTTATTATAAGGTCTTGATCATTTCTCATTTTCCAATACCCAGTCCAGACGTACTCACCAGCCGGTGAGATCGCTCGAGGAGGAATAAAACTGCAAGGCGATGATTTCCACCTCCAACACTTTCAACACCGGCAACGCTTTCAACACTTTCAACACCGGCAACGCTTTCAACACTTTCAACACCGGCAACACTTTCAACGCTTTCAACACCGGCAACGCTTTCAACACTTTCAACACCGGCAACGCTTTCAACACTTTCAACATCGGCAACACTTTCAACACTTTCAACACTGGCAACGCTTTCGACACTTTCAACACCGGCAACACTTTCAACACAAGCAACACTGGCAAACTCTGACCGATCCCATAGCAACAGCGTCATTTATTGTCGGGAGAACTAGTTTCACGAGTAAAAGGCGCACATCTGCTTCGATGCGTGCGAGCAGCTCAGCCATTGTTAAGCCTTTCAAAACAAACTGTGTCTCTCACAATTCTCTTGACTAAAGCTAGAAGGTGCTCTGCTTGCAAAGTGCTTTGGCGTGCTTGAGTTGCTCGATTTAAAAAAAATATACTGCGCTTTGTAATTTTGAAACTAGAGCCACAACTTCAAAGAAGAACTCGTTTCGCTAATAGAAACCACAGATACTATTCAATTTGGAGCGCATCTATTGATATGTGCACATCGTTATAAAAGGCCGATCAGGTGCGTTTATACTGGTCCGAAAGCTCGGGAACAATTCCAGCACAGCGTCAGTTCGAGCGCGTCAATCCGTTCGAGTTCGAGTATAAACGCAGGGTTCCTTACAAGAGAGGCCCATTTTCAATCAGAGTGGCCTTTCAAAATGAGTCCTCTTCCTTTTGAAGAGCATTGAACGCTGACCCCAACGCTGTTTTCATTATCTACCAAACGCCTTTGAACGCCGAGTCATGGTTGGAGCATAAAAGAAAGCAGAATCTAGATCAAACAACCGTTCTGATCTTTTCAGCGCTAAAGTAGAGCAATGTGAATATAAGTGTATTGTATAAGACAGTAGTTACCTATGAAGTAGTCCGGTAATTGGCACTGGAACATTCGAGCAATTCTAGAAGAAGCTTGTTCGAGTTGCACATTCAATTTTTCAACCCTAGAAACGCTCATAACTCAGCGTCCACAAGCATTTGGCAGATAATGAAGGATTTGAAACCATCTTTTGCGCTTCAAAGGGTATAAGACTTGAAAGGCCACCTCGAGAAAACGGACCTCCCTTGTTATTAGCCGTACTTTTAGTGCTTTAAATGCTTGATTGTCTGTTCGGCAATTCCTCTTTTGAACAAAGCAAAGGACTGACAGCAGACTTGTTGAACTTGCTCAATTGTAAAGCATAAGTCAAATGGTTTATCTCTGAAGACCAACTTTGGCAATTTCACTTTCGCCGTTGAGCTCACGCAACATCTTCCACTAGCAGTGCTCAGTGAACGGCAGCTGTATCCTGACAAGCATGATTCCTTGTCTGCCTTGCAGTCCTCAAATGTTTAAGCATGAAACGACCAAGTTATAGTCATTTATAGAATCGTGACGACGGATTCGATTGCGGTCATGCGGAAGCATGAACACTTATACAAAAGGCGTCACCTCAACGCTCAGGTCAGTCACTTCCAGTTTCTGAATACATTATACTAGGCTGTTGCATAAGTTCTGTCCGATTTTTTTGCCTCATGTTTGAAGCAGCTGTTCTAAGAGAATTTCATCTCTAATTCGATACGGTTGGTATCATTGAAAAGTGCTTTCCTTGCGCTTTCTAAAGCATACCAGAATTCAATAAAATTCTTAGTGTACGGAGATCACAGGCCTAAAATCTCTAAGTGGCCGAGGTACGTTCTATCCCTAGAAATATGTCCTTGCGAGGATATCTCCACAATGCGCCCTTCAAGTCAGGTTCTTTCATTGGCTTCGGAATAAGGGTATGGAATGCTAGTATATGCAGAAGTTCGGTCCCATGAAGAATACGTCTTGCTAGTGAAATTTATCCTCGAACATAAATCTTTGGTATAGATGTTTTACAAGCAATAACTTTCTGCGAATAGAAGTAATCGACAAGCTCAAAGTTGGAGGTGCTAGGGCAAAGCAAGAGCTAACAGGGCCCATCCACCAATTCCTTTTCGGCGCTCACGTCAGTTGTAAAACGTTCGTAGTTCATAAATAGGCATGCACACATGTGCTGAAGCGAGGTCAAAAAGTGGCTAATTTTTTGTTCGGTCAAGAAAATCTCTCGGCAGCGCAAACCCTATGGGCTCTTTTATGTTGCATAATAATCTACGAAAATTTCTCTATCCATCCTTTATTAGAAAAGATGCCTATCAATTTTCATAAGGGAGCGTTACCATGTCAAAAAAGACAGATTCGAAGAAAAACGCTGCGAAGTTTTTGCATTCTTGGTTCTTCCTTAACAAAGATTTGCGCAGATCTCAATATGCATTTTTTAGCCAAGGGACTGCTCAACACATAGAAACTAAGACCTTGGAAAAAAGTTGACTCTGAAAGAAGTTATGACATTTTAAACTCAAAAATTCAAATCGGACAGAACTTATGCAACAGCCTGGTAGGTAAGCAAAAAACAACATTCGAGTAGATATAAAAACCAAGAAAATATGGCTGCCGGAAGTGCGTGCGTATGACGCGCGGTCGCGCCATCGCCACGATTTTTCGAACGCCTTAGGCCTAAGGCATACCTCACGCGATTCTTGTCGCGGCGCGATTCGGCAACGCTTCAATTGTTCATAACTCATCGTAATGGGTTTCTGAATCTACGGAAGATAATGCATTTTATCAAACTTCAAAAGTTATAAATGTTATGCATTTGGGGTCCGCCAGTATTGAATATGAAGAGATCTGGCAAGTTGCCAGATCGCGCGGCGACTGAAATCGCCTGAGGTATGCCTTAGGCCTTATACAAATTTATTGCAAAGCCACAAACCCTGTACTCCTGCGTTTCACATAAAAGCCATCGACTTCGTGGTGCAGGCTTTTTGTCTGGCGCTGTCTTTTTTTCTAATCTCTCTTCGATTATCGCAATCATTTTTGCAAGCTTGCTTTCTGTAGTAGAAGAAGGGATGGTTGAAGTTGTAACAGTTCGAAATGAGTGCAATTCCATTGACTGCCCTGTAAAATTATAAGTATTATACTTCTAGGGTCTTTTCTTGTTAGATTGGCAACCAAGTTTTGCAAAAGCTCTACGTATCTGAACATCCAGGTAAAATTTGTTTATCAGATTGCATTTAGAAGTCATGTGGAAGTAGGCAAAGGAAATCAACGGAAATCTTGCAGGTCAAAATTAATGTCTGTCTCTATCTTTCTGTATGCATGTGCTGTCTAGAACCCATTTCCACACCGGTCTAGACCAAATCCAAGTTTTGCACATACTGAGGAGAAGTAGATGTCATAGCAGAGTTGAGCAAGAGGTCAGGCATGAGTCTTTCGAAACCCTCCCCCCCCCCCGCCCCCCCCTAGGAATCCACAAACGACCCCTTTGTCCTCCTCTTGGCCTCCGCAACCTCAGAGTGTGACACTCTCAGGCAATTTTTGAGAACTGTACGCCCGATTTTCTGTAACTGCACTTTACAATTACACATGATTCGAAGGTTGATTTTGATCTAAAAGGGCTTACTGAAAGAGCTATGATTTTTCTAGAAGCGGGGCGTTCGGTTCCAGATTTCCACAATAGCAAGAAGAAGCTATGACCTCAATGCTCATCCCAGAGTTGGATCGATTTCTGGATTTCGAAGGCAAGTTGAGGGAGTCAGGCGCAGCCCTCATCAGGCAGCCTGACCTTTTGAGGGGGGGGGGGGAGGTTGCGCCTGACCCGATTAACTTTATCACCAAGGAAGGTTTTCCATCTTAGTTTTATATGATTCGCTAGCATAGATTTTGAAGTTTCTACAATAGTTTATGAGCTTACCTCGACTTGTTTTGGCTTTGTGGTGGCCGGCGGAGTTGAAGCACTCGAGGTAGAAAACGCTGTGACTAACATCTTGGCAGCACTTCTTGGTCTATTAGGTTGGCACGAAAGTTCTTGCATAAAAACAAAATTCAATAACTTTTCAAAGACTAAACCTAAATTCACAATCTTGTATGCTGAAAATATTAGAAGCCTTACCCTTCATGATGGATGTTTAAGCATAAGATTACGTGAGTTAGCCATCGAGAACGAAGCTCTCAAATATGGGGCTTCAAATTTTGCGATTTTGAGTTTGGTGCCAGAAAATCGCAGAGTGCCGTTAGCTAGCCGAAAAAAAAACCTGTAGAATTTACGTACACAACAAAAGTCCATATGCTACTTTGGCAGGCTTTGATCTTGCACGGTGAAGCAAAAACAAAAAATTCGTGAAATATGTCACTTTGCAGAAAATCCCCTCATGCCCGCAGTTTTCCGGCGAAAACACTTTTTTACAATCAAGAAAACGTCCAAGGCTCTAAATAGGCACTATGTCTAATTTCTGAGTGCAAACTGTGTTTTTGTGAAAAACTTAGAGCGATAAGGGGATTTGCCCTGTGAAATCAGAAATTTCACAAATTTTTTGTTTTTGCATCTCCATGCGAGATCAAAGCCTGCCAAAATAACGTATGGACTTTTGCTGTGTAAGTAAATTTTACAAATTTTTTTTCGGCTAGCTAGCGGCCCTCTGCGATTTTCTGCCACCAAACTCAAAATCGCAAAATTTGAAGCCCCATATTTGAAAGCTTCGTTCTCGATGGCTAGCTCATGGAATGTTGTGCTTGAACTCCCTTCATGGAGCTTAAGAATTCTGTTATTTTTAGCATACAAGATTGTGAATTTAGGTTTAGTCTTTAAAAAGTTATTGATTTTTGTTTGAATTACGCAAGAACTTTCGTGCCAACCTAATATTATTTGAATGTGATATGAAATCCAATTTCTATTATAAACTGACAAAGAGTTTTACTTCGTTGTGAATATTGTGAATACAAAAAGGCTGAAATCTTTCACTTTCGTGACCAGGATTTTCATCTTTGAAAATCATGCTTTTTAGAGGTAGCGGACACTAGAAAATGTAATAGGTAATGGTTTGTAGAGCTCATTGAGGTAATCTAGCATGCTGATTACGGGAATCATACCCAATTCACACAAAAAGCTTCTTTGGTGATCTTACAGTGTGTGTAAGGTAAGATGAAGACTTGATGGCTGAGACTTTGTTAGTCAAATGTTGTTCACGACAGTCATTCCTCTGGTGGAGTTGTGAGATTGGATTGAGCGCTTTTCTTCTTCGCCTTACTCGATCTTAGTATTTCCTCAATTTTTTGAACAAATTCGCTTCTTGATTACGGACCCTCCCCGCCCTCTTTGCTCTTACCCCCAATAGGACCCCCCAGGTCGGGCGCGCCTGACCCCACACTCAACTCTGGTCATAGGCTATTTTACGTTACCGAGTGATATCCGTCTTTTTGATTTTTTCTTTAAACTTCAAGCTAGGCATTGTGCTGATACAAATGACGATCACCTACATTAGCTAAGCGAGAGGCAAATGAGGCAGATAAACTTCAGCTATTCGGTAGTGTTCTCAAAAAAGAAGGTCATTCTTTGATATAGACCACGCCTCCTATCAGTAGACGCTGCCTCTACAAAGAACTACCACCATGCACAACAAACAAGGGATAACGATTACTTAAAAAACAATGTTTTCAAGAACTCTCTCAATTTGCGAGAAAAGAACATTCTTGGACATTCATGAGTACCCAATGGTACTGAATTACTAGGGGCGAGCTGTTCTAAGCACGAAGAAACAAAATAAAAATTGATTTTTGAGGCAGTCAGATGAGAGGTGCACAAAGTGATAGCAGAAAAAATTGCTTTGAACATATTGAAGGCTTACGATAATAAGAATGCCTATGTAAAAAAAATTTTATGGAATGGAATCCACACAAGATGCACTTCTGCGTAACTGTTGAACTTGGTAGGTACCACGAGGATGGAGATCGCTAAGTAAAGAAGTCGCATGGAGGTATGGCCATGGCAAACCGTTATGTAACTTCTGTTTCAAGCCTTAATCACACAGAACGACAGTAAAGCTAGTCACGGGAAGGAAGTTGTAGCTAAAATGAATTGAAGGTGATCCAGACGAAAAAGTGAGATGGACTTTGAAACCTCCCAACTATAAAAGCTTCATTAAGTTGGAAGAGCAAATTCGCTCTCGGTGTATCAGCGCAAGTTCGCGAAATAAAAAGGAAGGAAGCACCTAATCGTTTAGCCGCGTTCTAGAAATCCTCAGGTTGGTGGATATGGTCTAGTCGGCATTCGTAAATGTGAGTACTAACGGAAGCTATGTTTTTGAGTTAAATGAACGAAAATTGTGGAAAGAAATGAAACTGCTCTGGCTTGCTTAAATCGAAGGTTTCTAAAGAGCACCATATGTGATTGTTTCGTGCCTCCTTCAAACCTCATCCAAGATAAAAGATATGTTTGTGCCCCATGAAGTCAGATGTGGGCTTTGGAACACACGATAGGAAAGAAGTAAATATAGTACTGTGCTCGTGCAGGATAGTCAAAAAATGACATAAACTTATATTAAGTTTTGTAGTACAGCATGGTGGGGGACGAGTGGCGTGGTGGTATGGGCATTGGTACCATAGTAATCTGGGAGGATAAAAGCACTGACTTGGTAACGGCTAGCCCCGCAAATAACTGTGAGGCTTGAACGCATTTTGTACATAGCATCTTTGACTGCAAAGTAGAATGAGTTTGGCTGCCTGCAGAGGTTATTGAAGACGCCGAATCCTCTGTCCTTGTCAATACGGTAGGAGCGGTAATTTTTCTCGCTTGCTCTTCATCATAGTCACGAACGCCGTAAGAGCTTTGAGGTACACTTCAAACATTCTGTACACTGATTATGCTTGATCCAAACTCACAATGCCTTCCCGCGCAAAAGTATCCTGACAAGCTATCATCCCGTAGTCTTAGAAATACTTCCAAGGCCTAAGGCATACCTCCGCGAATACACTCGCTGCGCGATCTGGCACAACAACTCTTCATAATTTTAAGCAAGCGCACTTTGCTTTTGCCAGTTTTTACACTTTTGCGAGAAATTACAGAAGTTTACACGCCTATGCATTGGCACTCGCATATGATCAATCTGTAGACATCTGGCAAAACGCCAGTCCCGCAGATGTAGCGATTTGGCGGAATCGCGGGAAGTATGCCTTAGGCCTAAGGCTCCGGCGTCATCACAAAATCAGGGTGCTGGGTTAGATGGAAATGATAATGAACAGTATGGTATAGTGATCCTTCTGTGAGCGAAATCATACAAAGCGTTTTGAAGAAATACTGATCAGCTCGTGGAACTACTGGATTTGATTTTGAAGAAGAAGCTTTCCAAAAGCTCCTAAGAAAGAGAAACGGAAAAGGAGTAAAGTTCTTGCAGGTGTTCCTGAGGCGCCTAATGGTTTCTCCTTGTTGGAAAGGAAGTGGCACTCTTGGGAAGAAGTTGCACAGGTGCTGGACCTTGCAAATCGACGTGTGATCCACCGAGTCTACCGCACGGGACCCACTGATGATTGGCCACGAATTGATCTTCCATCGCGCTTTGTTTGCATGCCCTATCTAGTTCCTACCGATTGTGTCATTTTTCACTGTCACATATCTATGTAAGGAGGAGCATGACTCCTACTGAAAAGACGTTTTGGAGTTGCCTAGGGAGGCGCGAAAAGAAATAGAGGAAGGGGGTAAAAGAATGCGTAACCTTTGATTCAACTGGCTTGGCACCATTAGGGCGGGGTTTTGTGATCTAATTGAAGCCGCTCGCGCCCGCGATGGACCTGCGTCTATCTCGCGCGAATGCTCTCTGATCATTACCTAGCCTAAATTAGGTCACGAAGCTCCGCCTTTGCCGATGCCAAGCCAGTTGAATCAAATGGTAATTGGGGAAGGATCGAACATATTTCGAAACTGCTGAAGTGTCCCAATGTCGCAATCAGGAAAACACGAAGGCAGCATAGGATACAAGAATTACCTCGCTTGTTTTCTATTCAATTCACATGACGTAGTAAAAAAATTGCACCTTCTTCACGCCTTTTCATCCGCCTAAACGAATACGTTCCCCTATATTCACTGCATTGCTGTCGAGACGCAGACAGTTCTAAGACTGTTCTGGTGTTCATAAGAGTCTTCACTCCAATCACCTCTAAGACTGCCCTCTTCCACCCCATCCGTCAAATCTTTGGGGCTGAAACTAAACTTATTTGCACACAGTCTTGTCGAGAAAGTCACGTCCTTTCTAATGAGCGTAAGTACAGACTCGTAGATTGCCTGACGGCTGAGCTACAAGCCTGCAAAGCGGTACAAGTCAGTGGTGAGGCGCATGTAGGGTCATGTGCATGCTTTGTCAGGAGTCATTTTCAGCCAAGAAACTCACCAGCACATGTCCGATGCATTGAATTGAATTCTCTTGATTGATACTTCTATTTCAGAACCGATCCGGACCAAGCTTGGCTCGCATACACTTCAGAGCGGGGCGGGTTTCGCAAGCTACTTTTCTCAGTGATCGATATCGATTATCGATTTTCTGCGAAATTTCACCTAGAGGCTGGGAGTTCGCACAGAGGGATGTGTGAGGGAGCCTCCAGACCGCGCCGAAACCGCGCCGGTTGTCGCTTTTGCAGCCAGTAGCTGCTTTCGCGCCGGTTGCCGCCATTGCAGCTGAAGCGCATTGTGTCAGATTTTGTCCTTGAGCGTAGCCTATTGGCGCTAGATGCTAGGCTTTTCGATTCTTTTGCCACCACTCTTTTCCAAAGTCTTCTTCTTTCCGTAAGTAAATCATTGGAGGTTCTACGATGCTGGAGTAATCAACTTATTGTTGAATATTCAATCACCTCCCGCTGTAGAGTTGTTTCTTTAGGCAAAAAAGTGATAAACGGCGTTTTGTCTTTCATTCGTTTCTAGGTTATTCTTTTACGGTAGTTGATCGATTGGAACAAAGTTTCTTTAAATTTGTCTTTAGTTTTGAAGCTATGCTACTTCTATTGAGGACATCGGGTTGCGGACTTTCCCTGAATGTAAGTGTTAACTTGTTGGAACTTCATGCAGCATTGTTTTTCGTACTCTTTCGTTAACTTCACCTTCAGAATCAAGGAAAGCCCGCAACCCACCTCCACCAAATCTGGGAGCTAATAAATCTTTGCGGAACGCTATTTTTTTGCACAGACTTCGTTTTGATGATATTGCTCTGCTGTGCAGGCAAGGTTTTTTGTCTTTTTTTTTTGTCTTTTCCATTTTGAGGTTGATCTGCTGAGTGGACGATATCGTCGCAAAACGCTGTTTTTTGCACTTCTAACTTTGAAGCTACTCTACTATACTGCTTGAGTACACTAACTGATATAAGTTTAACTACTCAAGGTTAGCTATTTTGCTATGCTGAAGTAAAGGCATATACCTTGAATGGAGAAGGAGAAGGCACCAAATGACTCCACATCGTTGGTCAGCGTAGTGAAGTACCAAAAGCAAAAATAGTACAGAGAATTTGAGTTGCAGCTAAATTGCTGCTACGGCACGATAGGACAGCTTCAAAACAAAGAAAGTACTTTTGCAACTCGCTCATCCAGCATAGTAAACCAGTTTGCAAAACGAGATAGACGTCGAAAAAGCCTTGCCTTGCAATCCAGCGTAGCTCTACAGCGGGATTTAGACTGAAAGGGTTTCACTCGACAATGAATCGATTTTTCCAGCATCATAGACCGAAAAAAAAGGAATCCAGAACAAATTACCTATATCTGCAATGAATTACTACAGCAAAGAAGAGAACTTTAGAAACAAAAGAGTGATGACAAAGAAATCGAAAAGCCTAGCATCTAGCGCCAATAGGCTAGCTCCAAGGACAAAATCTGACACAGTGCGCTTCAGCTGCAATAGCGGCAACCGGCGCGAAAGCAGCTACCGGCTGCAAAAGCGACAACCGGCGCGGTTCCGGCGCGGTCTGGAGGCTCCCTGAGCACGCTGATTACGGAAATTTTATTGAACGAGCCGTGAGTCTGGTTTGCCAGCTAGCCAAAAATTAGAATTTTTTGCGCGAGGAATCAAGTGATAGCGTTTCTTGATGAATATTTGCAATCAAAACAGAGCGGTTCTATAGTGTGAGCTGGATAAACTAGAAATAGATAATTTGTGAAACAATAATCTTCCCAATTTCTATTAACTTTTAAGGAAGAATTCTTACATTGTGTGATTTGATCCATGATTATAGGAAGGAATAATAAATGGAATTGTTGGTGAAATTCTAGGTGGTCCTGCTATAGACCCCGGTAGCAAAATTTTTTCCATGTCTCATCAATCATCCACGAAACACTGAGCAACATAACGTTAGCTTCTTATTTTTATACCATTTAAGTGACATCGACGTTCGTAGAGAGCATGTTGAGCTTTTCTGATGCGGCGAAGAGGGAAACCTATATCTGTTGACAACAGGTCTCCTCTTACATAAGAAAAATTGTTAGAAAAAGAAAAGTGAAATGAATGGAAACGGAATGACGTGCTGTAAGGAAAGAAATGGATATCAATTGAATTTCTGAAATACATGAATCTGGGTGCAAACAGGGCCCGGCACGAGGTCGGCAAAAGGGGTTTTCCAAAACGAATTCCCCTTTGATCCCAATAAATTTTACGAATACCCCCTTGAGCCCAAAAATGACGTTTCATGCTTGTGCGACGAGATTACCGGCCACACTTTGCCTAAAAGCGCTTAAAAGCGCCCAAATTGCTCAAATTCCTCAAATTACTCCTCAGCTGTATCAAGATAGAAAACAGGAAGAAAAATAAGCACGAAAAATGATTAAGGAATGAGAAAATATCAAAGAAACGCAGTCAAGGAATGAGAGACGCCGTTCCCGCGCGTATCGATTGACTGGGGCGCGCTTTCTATCTTAGAAAGCTAGTCTGCTAATGCGATTTTGGGCTCTAACAAGGACAAGAGGAGGAGTTTCGGAACCAAAATTTCACCATGTAGTAAACTTTAGGTGTACAACAGATTTATGTAAAAATTTTGAAAAAATTATGGCCGACCTCAGGTGGGAATTAGGTCGGCAAATGCCGACCTAATTTGGAAATTAGTTAAGCACGTTCTTCATTCACATAAGTTTTTCATAATATTTCATACTTTATTACTTAGTCCTATTGCGCACATGCACACCGAAACCGGCGCGATTTCGTTACCTCTGCGTTGCAAACGAGCCATTTTTCCACTTCTTTGGTAGCGCAAAATTTTCAGAAAAAAGTTTGCCACAACCTTCATTCACATAATTTGCCAATGAAACTCCTCAATTAAGCCCTGCAAGCCCGTGTGCATGTACTTACCAAGTTTCGTACCATATCGTTCATCTGCGCGTTCCAAACGAGCCGTTTGAATTCACATCTTCATTTACCAGTTTTGCGAAATTCTCGGAAAAAATGCTAATTACTCGTTCCGTTCAAATAAGTTTTTCATAATTTTTCATAGTATGTTTCCACTAGCCTCTCTCCGTTCGCATACAAAATTTGGTGCCATATCGTTACACATACATTGAGAACTAGTCATGTATGCAGTTACAAATAGCATCGCTTGGGCGACGTCGCGGGTGCGGCAATTAGCGACGGCGCGATTTGACGCGTGCGAACTCCAGTGTTCGCCTGTTGAGGCACATCATGTCAAGATAAGTAGCGAGCATGAACTACCAATTTTTTTCCGGGGTTCCGCCCCGGACCCCGCAAAAACGATTTCCCCTTTGCTTCTTGGCCCCAAAACGATTTCCAGCTTGTCATTTGCCGACCTCGTGCCGGGCCCTGGGTGCAAACAGAGACATGTGCAAGCACACTGCCTTCGAGATGAAAAGTAGGAACCTCGGTTGCAGCAGCTTTGTGAAACGGCTATTTACGTCGTAGCATTTCGTATGATAAGAGTCCATAGCGTCTAACTACAATATCTCTCAAGAAAAGTATTTCTGTGTTTTCATCTTCTATACCATAAACTTTGGAAAAAGAATTTTTAAATTTTTAAAAAATTTTTGACTTATCGTTTTCTTTCAAAAAGATCAGACTGCTGACATAGAAGAGACAGTGCCAGGATACAAAAAATTAGAGTAATGAAGCAATCAACGAAAAAAGGAACAATCAAGTCTGTTAACAAAACGAGGCTTGCTTTCAATGTGACCATTTTTGCAGCATGTCGATGGGTAAAGGGGATGTCGACGTCATATTCCAAGTATGAAGCTTCTATACCTCAGCAAGCTTTCGGCTTTTTACTCACATTAAAGAGAATTTGTAACAGAAATTATGCGCCAATCTCGTTGAATACCTGTTAGATCTTGGTCGGATTTGCAAAATTTTATATTCTTCCCTTTTTACATATGTAGAAGCTTTGACATGGGGAATGTATTATTTGAGGCAGAACAATTTCTCACCATACTTGCTTTCCCATGAGCCCAAAATAACCGTACTTTCAACTCGGTATACTTTCGCAAATTTTGGTGAACTATTTAACGAAAAGTTTTGGGTACAACTTACCACTCAACCTCGGTGCGGCACAGTTCAGGTTGGTTCGGCCAAGCAGCCGAAAATATTCGCATAAGGTCAGGCGTTGCATGGCCCCCTCAGTGAATAAAACAAGTACAGCAATGAGATACATCCAAAAGTGAAGTTTAACAGCTTGTTTGGGCAGGAAAGGGGGTGAAGAGTGTAATATACCGACAAAGAAGTCCAGGGCGAGACCTTTCTGAATTAAAAAGGGAGTCGTGGTGGACAAACACCGTTGTTCGGTGCCGCAGACAAGCACACGAAGCACGGGGAGGACGTTCACTCTTCAACAAGCTGCTCATCACGAGTGCTGCATGGCCTTAAAAAGTCATTCTCGACATTTTTGTTGTGTTGTTCTCCAATCTTGCATTTACAAGATCTCAAACATCGCGAAAAGCGCCTTCACTTTTCAAGGGTAACGATTGTGAAGTGTGAACGAATAATTCACAAGCATTCTTGTTTCTACAACTTTGTGTAGAGATAAGGCCTTCAGACAATTTTCAAAGCACCCAGTCAAATCAAAGCAATCCTGAGTATAGGCTTTCGTAATTTTTGCTCGAATAGCAGCTTTTTACTACGTGGGTTTCTTTCATAGAAAATGTGAAGAAAATTCTTCTCGCACATCTCAGCCTCCTCCTCTCATGGATTATTGATTGCAGCGTAGATTTTCTTGACATTTAAAAAGAATTCTTTGAATATTCTCGTGGAATTTTCCTCACTTTAGGATAATGCAGAGTTTTTTCTGTAAATGAGTAAAAAGTTTCTGATAATTCCATGTCACATAGGAAAGGTCAATCTCTGAATTTTCTAAAAATTTTCCAAATATTTTTTTGGCAGATTTCAAACCTGCGTTAAGCTCCCTGTTAGGGCTGACGCTCCACGAGGATCATATTCAAAAAATTAAAAAGATAGAATTTCTTGAAAGATGGGGGAAATTGGAGATTGAAGAATCGTTTTGCTTTGGCTTACTTATCGTCTTTGAATGTGAAAATAATATCTACCAATAGATAGCCCTACGTCCTTTCCTCATATATGGCAACTTCTGCAGCTAAAGTTTATTAGTGCAGACGAACAGGAGCCATGTTACGATTATGTATGTATTATTATGTAATTCTTTGCAGTGTTCAAGTGTTGTCATTTAAGTCCACCAATTGCTGGAGGCCTACTTTAGTAATCCTGAAATTTGTTCGGCCGAGCATTGAATTCGAAAATAAATTTGGAACGAATCAAGCCCTGCACCATTAAAAAAAGCTTCATAATAAAAGGAATACTTAAGTTTCTATGCAAGAAGACCTGCTTATCGATAGAAATCACTCCCGTCAGGCATTCGATTCGAGAATGAATTGAACGTTCGCTGAAAAAACTACAGTGTTGACATGAAGGGCTTGGTTGATTCAAGAGATCAGAAATTCCTCAAGGCTTGTACGCAGAAATGTACATTCTTTAGTGAAATGCTTCAAAGAATGTTTGCTATGACAAATATATCGTTTTCAGAGATTTTGTTTGTATAGAGGATGAGATAGCAGCCCGACTATAGACAGCCACTCTGGACAAGGCTCGATTCTTAAAATTCTTCCCATCTTGATAGGATTAGAATATGATGTGATATCTCTAATCTTGGCTGCATCACACAATTTTCATATGGCTTATGGATTGTGAGGCAATCATTCTTAGATTGCATTCTTTAGTCTGTCTATTCTAGAAATGCTGTCATCAACAAATTTTGGACCACCGTGACTTCTGCCGTAGTTTTGTATCTTACAGAGTACGGCAAATATGCGAGAGCTGATTTGCAATAATTTTATTTATTTATTTATTTATTTATTTATTTATTTATTAAATACATCGTAACGATGCACCACCTCAAAAATGAAATACAAAGGCGATTAAATATGGAACGGGGTGGGAGAGAAAGGCAAGAATGACTTCACATTTGCTCCCACTTTCGAGTCGTATCCAGACGAATCTAATAGAATTCTTATATAATTTCGGGAAAATGATAAAGCTCAGGGGTTGTTAAAAAAGGCCAACATTGTTGGAAATGTGACTTCTGAGAAAGATGCCGGTTGCATTCGATGATGATGTAGGTAAATAATGTAAAGGCGATGGTGTTGAGAATTAGAATTTAGAAGTTATGAGTGGATTTCTTATACATTATAGGGAGTTTCGAACACATACATAGCGACCAGCAGAAGTAGTATATATTGCGCTCAAAATGCGAAGTGTCATGAAGTACCACTTGTGGCATGTCATTTTCGATACATGATGTACTAGTCCATCCATTTATCCATCCATCAAATTGTCCACTGATCGATCCCCATCCATATGCATACATACATACATACATACATACATACATACATACATACATACATACATACATACATACATACATACATACATACATACATACATACATACATACATACATACATACATACATACATACATACATACATACATACATACATACATACATACATACATACATACATACATACATACATACATACATACATGTGTCAGTTGATTACTTCACTAAGTCCGCATTTGAGCAACGAAATGCTGATTGATGTGCGAGCTCAAAGCTTCCAATAATGTGCGTTGAGTTGTACAGATAAAGTATAAAAAGAATCGGCTAGCAGGGTTCTCTAATACAATCGTGGGTAAATAATAGTTTCGTTGTTACCGGTAAGTGGGAGATTTTTTTGAACTGTGTAATTGAGAGTCAGTCAGGATTGACGTGTACAGGAGAAAGGATACGATATGAAAGTAGATGCACATAAAACTATCACTTGCATTTTGTCTCCCAATACATGCTTCGACGAACAGCAGTAGGGGATGTTATAAGAAGACAAAAATTCAACAGAGAAGTTAAATACAATCTGAGCTAAATCTGTCAAGGTAATTAAGTTCGATTAGGAATTTCCTCAATTTGTGTGGATCCAAGGTTATTAGTTCTATAGGAAGTGTATTTAATATATGACACATGCGGGCACCAAATGAATTCTGGGCCCGTAGTAAACCCCTCGTGGTTGTCACAACATAGAGGGACTATGTCGTGATAGCTCGGAGTATCTCGCAAGACTATAGCGAGCTATCCGCAGGGCGCCGCAAAACGAGCGCCTCCGCGCGTCATCGAACCGCTGATGACCGCGACAACAGCGCTCACATGCGCTGCGCTATGAGTACAGATATGCCGTGGAGTATTTGCTTAGCAAGGCAAGAATGCAGTGTGCTATTGTTGCCAAAGCAGGTAAATCAATCATAGGAAATCCAATAACTGACCATCCTCGAGTGCGCGCGCCTGTTTCTCCATTTTTAATTCGTTATCTTATGTTTGCATGCATTATCAGGGTAGCGCAGTTGATCTATGTCTGTCACAGGATAATGCTTATTTTTGCGCATCGTGCCGTGAGAAGGAGCGCCAATATCCGCTACGACAGGACCATATTTGACTCTTCTCAATGAAATTTGGGCGTGCCAGCCACGTGTCAGCCCGTGCCAGATTCGTGCCAGCTCCGTGCCAAGGCACTGATGGTCTAGCAGCGCGCACATTCGCTGCGCTGTATGCTACTACGCCGTGATTTGCTAGGGAAAGGATACACGTAGCAAATAGAGCAGTTGCAGAAATCAGTATGGGAAAACGATATGCATGCCTTATCCGTAAGTATTGTTGAAGGGGTTAGCTACTACTTTTGCAATTATTGTAAAACAGCTCAACAACTCAACATAGCTTGTAGTTAGCGCAGTGCCAGTGTGAGAGGCCGGTGTGCTAGACGTTGGGGGTACAAGTTCCATGCGACACTATCTTTTTTTGCTGGCAAACTGAATTTTGCAAAGGAACGTAAATTAGATTTTTCTTCTTGAAAGGAAATGGAATTTAAAATAGAATACATATTGAAAGTGTGCAAGAAAAATCAAAATATTATCATCAGCATTCAGTCCGTTCAAAAATGGGCTATTCCATTAGCCATAACGCCAGACGGTCCTTTCTCACAAAAACGAAAGGAAACGAGAGGTACATGGCTAACGAACAGCAACCAGCAAAGATATGTGGTCGAAACTGCCAAGAATGATGAAAAGATCAAGAATTTGCGAAAGTTTGGCACAAAGAAGGGACTTTTTTGCTCAAACAAGGTGCATAGCAAAAATAGAGAAGAAAAACTGCATAAGTACGAAAAATATGGCTAAGTATGAGTCTAACATACTTTTTAGTTAAAATAAACTCACCTTTTTTCAAATACCAAAGCGGCAGCAGCAGAAGTACTTGGAGAATAGGGAGAGGCGCATGGCTCGAACAGTTGGGCGCTTATCAGCTGTTGATATTGATTGTGGTTGACGTGCGTTATAGAGAACTGTGTGCATGTGCGACCTATTACGAGGTTGGCGTAGTCGAGCTCTAGTCTTGCGCTATGTCTCTGCGTCTCCATACTGAACAAAGTATTTCGTCTTCTTGTACGTCACCACATGTCGCTAGATGTCGCGATATGTGGTGACACATAGCGACAAAGTGCGAGCACCCTGACGCCTCGCATTGATTGCATCCGGCGGCAATGGTAAAGGATAGCCGCTTTGCCTGCCTCGCAGCACATTAGTCAGCACATGTCACAGCAGGCTCCGAGCTATACGTCACGACAACCGGGGGGTTTACTACAGGCCCTGTAGACAACGTTTTCGCCATCCTTTGGAATTATGTGTGTAAGCGTTAATTCTAAAACGACGTATACTAGTGGGACGTAAAATACAGTATTCTGAAAATCTTAAACGAGTTTCAGATTTGAAGATCTTGTAAGCTAGCCCATTGTAGCATTTGATGAACAGACAATCTCAACTTTTCGCGTACTACTAGATTATCATTGTTATCGTAACTATCATAGATTTTTATGTCATCAGCATAAGCTGCGACATTAATACGAGAATCAGTTCTTAGTAGGTTTGGTAGTTCCATGGTATAGATGTTGAATAATAGTGGGGAGAGAGCACTTCCTTGGGGAACACCTGACGTACAGGGTTTTGCTGTAGACTTTTGACCTTGGAAAACAACTTCAAAGGTCCGTCCCGATAGGTATGATTTGAACCAACTCAAAAGATTGGTCTTAAGGCCAATGCTTTCAAGTTTCATGAGAAGCCCAGCATGATTGACAGAATCAAATGCTTTACTTAAGTCAAAATATATGATATCAACTGATTTGCCTTCGCTAAGTGCCATGATCCAATCTTGGGAATATTTCACCAGTTG